AAGGTTTTTTTAAGTGTACACTTACCTCCGTCAAATAAAGATGGCAGAGCTTCTGCAAGGGCTTTTCCTGTGGAATCATGACCTAGCACTTCAGAGTGTAAGACAGACACCGATCCCTTATATGGAGCCCTGCTGGTGTAGTGATCATGTGTGGGCTGTGATCCACATGGTTAGCTGTTCAGAACCACCAGCAGCTCCAAGAGAAAGAGACCAGGCATTCTACTCCCATAAACAGTTATAGTCTCAGCAATGCAGGGGGGCTGCTAAGAGGGAGCATTGGCTCTATGGCAATAAGAGCGTGCCCTTATGCACAGCTATGCTTCGACACAGCAGAACCTTTGTCACTGTTCCCTAACCAGTTTAGTCTGGCAATGCAACTGCACACTTGACAACAAAATTTCCACGGACTTCTGTTAAATCTGAGCCATATCAGATTTTTAAGTTACAAATATTTTATACATTCGGAAAAGAATATTTTAAAATGCATGCAAATTTTACCCAGGTTAAGAAATAAAAATTACTTTCAGAAATGAATACACTAATTTTGGTAAAACAATTAAAGTTGGAGGAGGTATACAAAGGAGAGGAAAAATTCTTTCACACTCTGGACTCACTTTCTTGACTAGTTGATCTTCTCATTTGGGGGATAAAATCCTAATCAGTGGACTATGGTTAATTATAACAATTATGGAGTCCGAATATATCAGCTAAATGAGATGATATGCTTCCTACTTGCTTGAGTCTTTGTTAATCTAGTTGTTTCAGGTGGACACTTTCCTCTGCGTGAAAGGGCTCTTTGACCCTTCTTACCTAAAGTAAACACTAGGGCATGTGCTTTATTATCACATGGTGATGGGCACGCTTACAGTAAGGAAGAAGGAGCAGGGTCAGCCCTCCCCTCCACAGTATTCTAAGCAGCATAAAGAATGAAGAAGTCTTAAGTTGAATTGATGCAACAACAACAATTCAAAACTGGAAAGTGTAAGGTATTATTTTCAGAAAGAACAGAATAAACATCTGATACTGGTGTTAGGTACCACCAAGTTGGTTCTGATTCAAGAGAAATCTTAAGAACAGCTCAGAAGCAACAAAGCCCACATGGAAGAAGCACACCAGCCTATGCAACCATGAGGTGTCGAGGGGATCAGGTGTAAGGCATCATCAGAACAAAAAATCTTACCATAGTGAATGATGGGGGGAGTG